CTTTCAGTATGCTAGTTTTGTGAATTGAGCCTAAACTGTTATTTTATTACCACCTCATGCAGTTCCTCTTCCTACTCTCCTTAAACATCTTACTAAAATTCACAATTATCCTCAGCACAGAATACTCAGCTGATGTCTTTTACTCCTATAGAACTACATATCCCAGCACACTACACTTGCCTCTCTTTGTAAACTGAAGCTGCATTATGGTGAGTGGGCTTTTGACATAATGTGGAAGTATTCACAGCATACTTGTACATTATGGTGCAATTACTTATATTTACCTGTCAGTAGTATCAGGGCCGGTGCTAGGATTCTTGCCTACACAGGCAAGGTGCATTTTTGCGCCCCGACCCCCTGTAAAAACAGGGCATTTTGACAAGTACTTGTACTTGTCAAAATGCACCGATGTTTGCGCTATGGTTTTTTTTTTTCACTTACCTTCGGCGCGGGAGAGCAGCGGCGAGTCAGCGCTGGTCCGGTGGGAGGAGCTCCAGGTGGGGTCCTAATTTAGCTGGCCGGCGACTGCCTGAAGTGCCCCACGTGTCGGGATCCTCACCCTGCCGCGCCCTCAGGCGGCCGCCTGACTTGCCTTGCGGTAGCAGCGGGCCTGAGTAGTATGCCCTCCTCCAGCAGTGACAGGTCAGGGCTACAATTTTTGCTCCTTCCCATCATCTCCCTCATTGCTTCTTCCTGGTCCTCCCTGGTCATTGAATGACTACTGCCAATGTAACTCCTTCACATGCACCCAGGAGTCTCCTTGTTCCTGGCACCAGGCTTTATTGTCTGAATGATGAGAATAAGCCAAGCTGGAGACTGCATGTGCTGTGCCTTGTACTTAGCAAAAGAAGAATTGCAAAGAGTGTTGTGCAAAATGTTTTTGGGAAAAGACCTTAGTGGTATACAATAGTTCCCATTTTCCTTATGCCCAGCATACTATACATGTCTTGTCTCCAATCTCCATAGAACTAAAAGTCTCAGAATACAATACTTACAAATGTATTGATTAAATGTTTTATTTTTTCAACTCTATTTATAAATTCACACACAGAGATATTAGCGAGTAGTATCATTCACCTAGTATTCGAATACAGGGGAACCTCAGCCACATGCATATGATACAGCAGGACTGACTGCAAGAATTTTAATGGGAAGGTTCACGCCAGCAAGACCTCCCTCTGGCACAACACCCCAGGGGATTTTCTGGCACAGCATTCTTGTGGCTTCTCCATACCAGGATGACTAGCTGGCACTCCACTTCTCTGACACCACTCAGCCACATAACACCAGTAGTGATTCACATGAACCAAGAGGAGAGAGAAGAGATGGGCTAAAGACTAATGATTGGTTGGAGTTGGATACACTTCAGATTATAAATTTGCTGACATAAAATCATGGGGCAAATAAAGGGGATCAGCCCTACTGATTGGGTATGCGGTTGAGGGGTTGCAAAACATGGATGACTGCCAGATTTTCTGGGTGACCTGACAGGTCTGCAGTTATTTATAAAATGCATCTGCACTCACAATTTTCCCATTGTCTAGCTTACTGTTCCTATACATGCCACCTTCACCACTGCCCCTGAAAGGCTAACAAACAGCAACAATGACCAGTAGTGTCTGTACTGATGTGACAGTACCCATGTGAATGGCTGCTCAGGCCCTGAGCAATACATTATGGAAGGGCATGTGGGGCTGTCAAATATTTCCCAATACCCCCAAGTACAGATATTGTAAAGAGACTGTCCCTCTGCCTATTCGGGGTAAAGTGACAATTTCCTGAAAGTCCACCCATCCCCCCACTCCTCTAAGTCTATATAAATTGCTGGTTCTTACAGGTATAGGGAAGAATATACCTTTTTTGAAAAAGTCTGTAGGACGAAACGCGTAAAGGGAGTGCTTCGTTTCCTCGCTGACACCCTGGGAATATCCTCCACACAGATTTCATATGCTGTTTACTAACGGAAGTTTTGTAAGTGCAATCATTTTAATACTTTTGAAATAAAGGATCTTGCATCTGCACTTAATTCTGCTTTTCCTCTATGGTTTGCTTCCCCCCCGTCTTCCTGGCTGATCTCTCCGGAGGGTCTCCCATCCACAACTAGAGGCTGTCCAAATACCGCCGCTGAGAGGAAAGTGCAGGCCAACGGCAGGAGAGGGGAGAGAGACTATTATAGAAGTGTGTCTTCCCTCTGCGGACTCACCGACGGAACCACAAGTAAAAGACACTTGGTATCATTCGTATGATTTTTGCTTCTTGAACTCCTTTGCCCTTTGATCCTAAGACCTTGTTTCTTTGTAGAACCTGGTCAACATAAAGATACTGTTGATGTATAGACACTGTGATACAAAGTGGCCTCAGGATTAGGAAGTTTATGCCATTTCTTTACACCTAAAACGCACTTTGGAATATAGAGGGAGCACATCCCCTCTTTTCTTGAGTTCTTTTTTCTTTCTTTTTTCATCCCCTGGATCTCCGACGCCGTTTGGAGGATATTAGATTCTTGTTGTTCAGAACCCCCCTTTTTATATATATTTCATATATTTTTATATATGCATGATTATATTCACTCTTTTATCAGTAGATGTGGTTTATAAGGATTTTTTGTACACTGTCTTGTAGCTTTGGCTGTTTAAACAAGTGATTAGCATCATTGAACGTCAGACGGAATCAATTCACTCGTTTTAACCAGATTTTATAGATTCTTATACACTCATCGTCTTATAGTATAACTCCTTTCACATGACAACATATATATTTATTCAATTTTTTACACTTAGAATCACTCATCACCCATTTAAATCACACATTTATTATTCACGTTTTTTATGATGTATTCAAGTATAGAGCCAATATAAGGATCTGACCACTGGCACCGGATTAAGTTTATTATGTGTATGAAGTTTGCGGAACCTCACATTTTCAACCATTTATAGATAATTAATAAGTGAACCACACACAACCAAGCGCAGCACACCGGCCCACATTTGATCACGTTGAGAGATATTTCTGCAGCTGGTTAATTTCTGTAACACTAGATCCTAGCGCAACTACTCTGGTTAGAAGGGAAGAATATGGCCTCCTCCTAAGATGCATTGCTAGGGGATGAGCAGCCAATTGTCAAGTGTGAATAATGGGACCTGAGAAAGCTATTAACTTTGTGCAAGCTCCGATAACACCTGCGAAGGGACATACATAGCATGTGGACAATGGGAAGTAAGGTGAAGGGGGGTATAAGTGGGTCAGCGGGTTGGGCTTTTGAGAGACTCCACCACCTTACACTCATTGGGCAAAGGGACAAAGCCAAACCAGAGGGTGGACAGAACCATTGACTGTAAATGTAGCCACTGGAGGGTACCCAATACCAATTGGGGAGCTGGGGGTTTTCTGACAAGTTTGTTTTAAATAGTATATTTTCCTGTTCAGATGTCAGATATACAGGTACATACAGGTGAAACTCGAATAATTAGAATAGCGTGCAAAAGTAATTGCAGTAAGTGCTGCAAAAGGGGCCCAAACCAAGTACCAGGTACATATGCATGCTTGTACTTTTCAGAGGTCCGATATTGTTCTATGTACAATCCTTGTTTTATTGATTGCATGTAATAATCTACTTTTTTGAGGTTGTGGATTTGGGGTTCTTGGGGTTTTCATGAGCTGTAAGCCATAATCATCACAATGATGACAAATCACGGCTTGAATTATCTTGCTTTGCATGTAATGAGTCTATCTCATATATTAGTTTCACCTTTTAAGTTGCATTAGTGAAATAAATGAACTTTGCACGATATTCTAATTATTCGAGTTTCACCTGTACATGAGTGTTAGTGGGATTTCCTGCCAAAAGAGGGACATCTGAGGACCATGGACTATAACACATGACATTTCACAGATTACACTGGGCACAGATAGCAACTGAACCCAGTATACTTCCCTACATGCAGCACAGAGGTCCCTGCACCCCATTACACATTTAACTGTACTCTCCTTACATTCAGTACAGAGCCCAATGCTCCCCATTAAACCCAGCACACACCTCACTGTACTCCACCTACATCTAGCACTGTACTTAACATCCAGCACACAGAGCTCACTGCACCCTATGAAACCCAGCACACACATTCCTGTACTTCCACTACATCCAGCACACAGCTCACTGCACCCCAATAAACCCAGCACAGAGCTCACCGCACCCCAACACAAACCTCCCTGTACTTCCACTACATCCAGCACAGAGCTCACTGCAACCCATTACACACCTCACTGTACTTCCACTACATCCAGCACAGAGCTCACTGCACCCCAATACAAACCTCCCTGTACTTCCACTACATCCAGCACAGAGCTCACTGCACCCCAATACAAACCTCCCTGTACTTCCACTACATCCAGCACAGAGCTCACTGCACCCTATTACACACCTCACTGTACTTCCACTGCATGCAGTACAGAGCCCAATACACTCCATTATACCCAGCACACTTCTCACTATACTCTCTATTAGAGCCAGCACAAAACTGAATGCACCCCATTATACCCACATACATCCAGCACAGAATCCAGTGCACACCATTATACTGGGACAGAGAGCCCAGCGCACACCATTATACTCGGCACAGAGCCCAGTGCACACCATTATACTCGGCACAAAACCCAGTACACACCATTATACTCGGCACAGAGCCCAGTGCACACCATTATACTCGGCACAGAGACTAGTGCACCCCATTATACTGGGCACAGAGACTAGTGCACCCCATTATACTGGGCACAGAGAACAGTACACACCATTATAGCCGGCACAGAGACCAATGCACGCCATTATAATCGGCACAGAGACCAATGCACGCCATTATAATCGGCACAGAGACCAGTGCACGCCATTATAATCGGCACAAGCCCTTCCTAGCAGTCAGCCATTGTCACTCCCTCTCATCGCACAGCCCACACGCCTCCACTCTGTGTGATCCAAACCTAGCCCCGCCCACTTCCTATCGTCTCCTGACATCACTTCCGTCCCTGAACTCACTCCACTCCAGCAGCTCCCCCGCTACTAACCGCCATTCACGCTGCTGCCGGCGGAAGCTGCCCGGTCGGAATTGTTGGCGGTGTCGGCGCAGTGAGCCCCAGGTGAGAAGCCATGACAGAGCGGAGACGGGAGGAAGGCGTCCCTGTGCTGAGTCTGGTGCCTGCTCGGTGCGGCAGGAGGTGACGCACAGGCCTCAGGGAGCCCTCTGTGCCGGGCCGGCAGTAATCGAGGCTCGCTGTGTGGTCTGTGCTATCATTATAGTATGTATGGGGGGTGGTGATCGTGTAATCGCTCGGATGAGTGATCGGAACACCTTCACCCCATCCGAAGGCTGGGAGCAGAGCTGGCCATTGTGTACTCCGTGCCTTGGCCCTGTACAATGTGTCTGTATAGGTGGCGATGGAAGGCATGTATAGGATAAATCTCAGTGCCTGGGGGTGGGGGTTCTGTATGGATTATCAGGAAGATGGGTGATGGCAGTGATGATCCTCCCACTAGAAGGCGATCAGCCTCCCCCATTCATTCATTGTGATGGAGGATGCAGTCCTTGTATTGTGCTCCTCCAATCAACCTGCATGGGCTGCCCATCTATGGTACATGGGGGGGGGACAATAATATAACATTCATACTGCTCAGATCATCATTTATATTTGATGAGCCTCATTCATGTCTATCACTTTTATTTGTAGGCCGATGGGTGATTCTGCCACTGGAGACCAATGGCCAGCGGTGGGATCTCTTGGAGGCGGCCTGTCTGTCGATCTACAATCACTTCCTCTATAGCCAGATGCACAAGATGTCGCTTGGCCGAACGCTGCTGAATCTTGCTGCCTCGGCTACAGATGGAGCCATTCCATAGGGACAGACAGGAGGCCTCTTAGAGATTATAATGCATCAAGAGCACAAGCGGCAGAGGCGCCCATCTGACATCAGCTCGACTAGTACTGATAGTCCAATATTTTCCTGGTTCGTGCAAAAAAATAACTGAACCCAAAGAGGTGAAATTAGTCTCCATTCACATCATCATTGCCCATCACATAGACAAAGCAGTCTGCGCTATGACTGATGAGTCGGCTCCGTGTTGCTGAGTGTGACGGAGCTCGGTGTGCGCTGAACAAAACAAAAAGTAGGACGGATATATTTTTGCACAGCGCATTGCAACACACTGCGGTATATGGAGATTAATCAAATTACTTTTTGATAAAGTTAAAAAGGTAAATTGTGCAATGCGTTGTCATAACGCATTGTACCCTCCCTACACAACATTTATTATTATAGATATTTATATAGCGCCAACAATTTTACACAGCGCTTTACGTATTGCACATTCACATCAGTCCCTGCCCTCAAGGAGCTCACAATCTAAGGTCCCTATCTCACATGCATACATACGAGGGCCAATTTACCTTCTTTGACATGTGGGAGGAAACCCACACAAGCACAGGGAAAACATGTAAACACCTGACCAAGATTTGAAAAGAGGACCCCAGTGCTGCAAGGCACTGTGCTGCCCTTAGCTCTGTAGCACTATTTAGTTCGTATTGTACAGAGCATTACATGCGTCCGCTGGTGTGAATGGGCCCTTAGGGTTAGTTCACACCATAAGCAGTGCGTTCTGGTCTGACTCTGGCCAGAACGCAGTGCCTCGCATTGCGGCCGGCTCACTTTTTTGCCGGGCTGGAGGGCGCGTGGCAGGCCATTGAAATGAATGGCACCTTAGCCACGCCCTATGGCCGCAATGTGATCGCCCGCACGGGATCACAAAGCACATTGTGCCTGCGGTGTGATCAACATGCTGCAAGCCCTATTTTGATCGCACGGGCTGCACTGCAGGCACAATGTGCTTTGTGATCCCGTGCGGGCGATCACATTGCGGCCATAGGGCGTGGCTACGGTGCCATTCACTTAAATGGCCCGCCACGCCCCCTCCAGCCCGGCATAAAAGTGAGTCGGCCCCGATGCAGTGCGTTCCGTCCAGAATCAGACCGGAGCGCACTGCTTATGGTGTGAACTAACCCTTAAGGGATAGCTTGACTTTGTATAGATTAGCTGATGAATAGCCATTTATGTCTCTGTAGTGTGAGTTGATCTAAACCCAGTGACCACAGGCTACTGCTCGCGGTATACTGAGACGCTGAAGTGGATCCCGACAATTGTGCCGGGATCCGCCCAGCTGTGTGACTGACAGCTGGCTCTGCCTATCTAGAGGCAGAGCCAGCTGTACCCGCCCCCTGTCCGTTCCGCCAGTCAGCGCTGGCGGAGAGGGGGGAATCCGGCCCCTCCCCTGTCACGGCAGAGAGCCGTGACAGGATCGAGAGGTGAGCGGACGACGGTATGTGTTCGCTCGCCTCCTGAGCCGACCTGTGACAGTCTCATTGTCACAGGTCAGCTAGAACTATGAGGTGAGTGAAAAGCACTCACCTCATAGTTCTCCTTTAGAGAAGTCTGCTGAAAAATAGGTGCTCCCCAGGAATGTTGATCTCCTGTAATGAGGTGTGGACCAATAGAAGGAGCCACTGAACGTAGGGGGACCGGGATATAAAGCTGGCCACACATTCCTGGTGAATTGTCTCAAATTTGAACCTTGGGTGGCCGTTCCGGAACCACCAAAAAGTAAATTTTTTTAAATCTACTTTTGTCAAGGGGGCCAGGTGGAAAATTGTCATCTGCAATCACTATCTGGATATTCTGACACCAGTGTGCGCCAGCTGTCAAATATCTAATAGCCAACAAGGAAGTTTCCTTCATCCACGCTGCTCAGATAGGATGGGGTAGTCGAAGGATTTGTTTTTCAGCCTGCGGGCTGATTATGGAAAATCTTAAAGTGTACGGCCGGCATAAAACGCACAAGGGTAGCTGAAAAGATACAGCTTTGTGGTCACTTTACTGGTATGTTTCAATTACGATTGAAGATAATAATAACTATGGAAGCATAGTACACTTGCCCGTTTCATAGCTTTTCATCTGGGCATTGCTTATCATTTTGAGGGTTGCTGCACTTCTGATATTTGCCTTGTTTCCAGTGGAGGTGATGTATATTACATCACTTCCTGCATTCAGTGTCACTCTCCAGCTTCAAAAGCTGGGGAGAAGCTGGTGAAGCAGACCTCTGCTTCATCAGCTTCTCTGGGGGTCCCTAAGTGACATGGAGACCCCTGATGTCTCCATAAAGTGGACCTGTCACTTCAAATTGGCTATCACATAGGGGGCTTGTTATCCCCCCATGTGATAGCAATAAAGTTCAGCGTAAAAAAACACACATTTTTTTAAGTCCCCCGCCCCCCACATACACACGCAAACATGCCTCGGGTGTGCTTACGTGTGAAAATGACAATTGCCTATTGTGCCGCACATGTTACATATCACCGTGAACATCGGAGTGTGAGCAATAATTCTGATGCCATTAATTACTGAAAAACACTAAACTAACCAGCAGTAAAAGCGTTTAAAGCGTCGCAATTTTGCGGGCGCGCACAATTTTAAGGCTTGACATGTTTGGTGTCTATTTACCCGACCTGACCCCATATTTTATATTTTACCAAAAATATGTGTAAGAATAAATGTTTTTTAACATGACGCAGGGAAAACGTTTTATTTTTCGAAATGTACGGTACTTTTTTTGTTGTATAATAAAAAAATGAACCCGCCCCCCCCTCCAGTGGTGATTATATACCACCAAAAGAAAGCTCTATCTGTCCCTAAAATGTTACATAAATTGCAATGCTATAGTCCCATCATGCTGACTGGTGACATTTTTTAGTGACCGGTGAGACACCCTAACATTTTTTCGAGCCCTGAGCATGACCTTTGATTTTCAATTAGAAAATCACATTGATTTTACCAGCTGCCACTAGAGCCATTCACAGTGTCGTGCCGTGGTAAGGGGTGTGCGACAAGGTAAAGGTGCCTATACACCTTACAATTTATCTGCAGATTTTCTGTGGTCAGATGGAAAAAGTGCAACAGATTGGCCCAGGTGGAGATTCCTCCATCCACGCACCATCCATCTGACCACAGAAAATCTGCAGATAAATTGTAAGGTGTGTGGGCAGCTTTAGGGGTGTGCGACAAGACTGTTTATCCGTGCACTGTTAACCTTAGACAACTCATTTTGTTTGGGTCATAATACAGGATAATTTGTTCCTGGTTTATGTTTTTTTTTTACTACAACTAATTGAGTTCTGATTCACGCCTGAGCGGGTTTGTAGCTTGAAACGCAATGCTCCAACGTGTTCATCGGCCAAAATCCAATGCTTTGAATTTGTGCACGTTCATATGAGTGCTCAGACGCTTGTAGTTCAAAAAGCTACATTATTATTATTACATAGTATTTATATAGCGCCAACAGTTTGCGCAGCGCTTTACAATATAAGGAAGACATTAGTTACAATACAATTCAAGACAAGATGGTAAGGAGGGCCCTGCCCCTGATGGCTTACAATCTAAACATGAAGTATATTTGAAGCAGAATGGGGGTTTGCCGGCGTCATAGACTTCAATGGATAGTCCATGGTCCCATCGCACTCCTGACCGCGTAAATCCCTTCAAGAATTGGGTGATGTGCAGCCGTAACAATCATGAGCTGAAGCAGAGACACCGGCACTCCAAATTTGCAAAATACGTCTATTGACGTGCATCGTGGTAGAAAACAATGATGATGGGGATCCTTTGTGACCCCGAAACGTTCGTTGTTTTCTACCACGATGCACGTCAATAAATAGACGTATTTTGCAAATTTGGAGTGCCGGTGTCTCTGCTTCAGCTCATAGACTTCAATGGAAGCGCCTGAAAATGACTTACAGGAGAACTATGAGATGAGTGATTTTCACTCAGCCTCATAGTCCGACCGACGTGTGACAATGAAACTGTCACACGTCGGCTTAATAGATCGGGAAGGGAGCGAACGCATACCGTCGCTCCCTCGCTTGCTTCTCGATCATCTCCCTGCAGAGAGCTGCGACTGTCACTCACGGCTCCTCTCCGATCACTCACGGCTCCTGTCACTTCCTCCTCTGTCTGATCCTCCAGCCCTGACTAGCGGAACGGACAGGGGATGGGGTGGGTACAGCTGGCTCTGCCTCTAGATAGGCAGAGCCAGCTG